TCATCAACCTTTTTGGACTATTCATCGATTTTGATCGAGGTGCATTCAGAGACAAAATCTGTTAGCATCTATGATTTGAGAATCGACTTTAGCAAAATATGTAGGTCATATTCATTAAGCTCAATTACCCATTTGATTAATCTACCCGATAGTTCAAGCTTTTGTAAAATTTACCTAAGTGGTACTCGATCAATACATTGATCGTGTTAGTTTAAAAGTATGGTTTGAGTTTCTTGGTCCATGTGACAACAATATTGGCTAATTTTTCTATTTTGGAATAGTTCATCTCGAACCCTATCGATTTTTTCTTTATGAAGTATACCGATTTTTACCTTTTTTCATCTTTTCGAATCAATACCATGCTGAAAGAATGGTTAATTGTGGCAATATAAAGGTACAACACTTTGTCAGGTATTGGTTTAGATAATATAAATGGAGAAGGCATAAATTGTTTGAGCTATTCCAAAACTTTCTGACATTGAGATATCTATATTAAATTTAAAATAATTATAAAGATTTTGAAGAATGGTAGCCATCGATCTGCTAACCTTGATATGAATTTGTTTAAAGCAATGATTCTCTTAATTAACCTCTATACCTTATTTACTGATGTCGATGCTTTTATGTCCAAAATTGCTTGAGCCTTCTCTAGGTTTGCTTCTATCTCCCTTTTTATTGATTATATAGTTGAGAAATTTTTTTGTCATGACCCTAAAGGTAAATTTGTTCAAATTTATTTTGTAAAAGTTTTTAAGGTCTCTTTCAAATCTTTCAGATGTTTGGTTGAGCTCTTGCTCTTCACAATCATGTTATTAACGTATACTTTTACATTTCGACCAATCTGATTATTGAAAACTTTATTGACCAACCTTTGGTAAGTTATCCTTATATTTTTCAGACTAAAAGGCATAACCTTATAGTAATGAAAACCTTTCTCGATTATGAAGGATGTTTTCGCCTCATCTTCCTTTAACATTTTGATTTGGTTGTAGCCAGCATAGGCATTTATAAAGTTAAGCAAGTTGTGCTCATCGTTGTCATCAACCGATCGATCTATGTTGGATAGAGAAAAACTATCTTTTGGGTAAGCTTTGATGCGGTTAGTGAAATCCATACATTTTTTATTTTTTATTGTGCTTTTTCACCATTACAACATTAGCAATCCATTCAGGGTAGTCTGTTTCTCTAATGAAGCCTACTTTTAATAATTTGTCGACCCCTTCTTTAATTGCCTTTTGTCGTTCTGGGGGTGAAAGTTTTCTTTTTTTTGTTAAATTGACTTCATGTTTGATTATTTGTGTAGCCTATGGACCATTACTATAAGATCTATCCTAGGCATGTCGATAAGGTCTATGTAAACAGATCAGCATTGTTTCTTCTAACAAATTGACTAGGTTGGCCCAATGTTATGTTATAAGCTAAGGTGATGTCTATTACCATAAATTCAATAATCGAGGTGACACTCATCGGTTTGGTACCCAATGAGATTGATAGCTTGATGTTTCTTTTAACTGGCACTTGCACATTTCTAAAGTCGATCAATGTGGTGGTGAACAATTTTAACATTTCCTCTTTAATGTTCATCTTTAGCATCGTAACATAGTACAAGATATCAGTCGAGCTCCCACTGTCAAATAAGATCCTTTTTACCACATAATTGTATACAACAACTAAAATCACTATACCATCAAAATGTGAAAATTAGATTCCTTTTAGATCTTTCTAAGTAAAAGAGATCAATTTACCCTTTCAGCTTTTTTGCTTCTTGACGAGGACCCTATAGCCATTACTACTCTTTGATCAAATTTTTCTTTGTTGATGCAGAGGTTTTTCCAGTAATTACATTAATAATACCTATAATAAAGTCGGTTATCCACTACCTATTCTTTATCTTTTTTATGCTCATTCTTTGGTTACCACCATTTTGATTCCTTTCTTTCATGTTCTCTATATTTTTTCTTATCCTTTCTTTTTAATTTTCTCTTTTAAAGTCTCATCTCCCTTGACCTTGTCTTGTTTAATCAACAAATTTGCCTAGTGGATTTCTTTTGATCAAATTTTCAGTCTCATTTTTCAAGTTGATACAATTTTCGATATTGTGGACAAAGTTTCAATGGAAAACACATTTATTTGTTGGGTCTTTTCTGGTATTACGTCTTAGTGGCTTCGACCATCTAAGTTCAGGCTCCTTCTCAATATGTATCAAAATCTTCTCTCAAGAGGTATTCAATGTAATGTACCTTTTTTGTTCGTTCGAGCTTTTGGCTTTAGGGTACCCTAGTCTTTTCCCTTGTGAGGGATCGTAAACCTTTTTTCTCTTTTGTGAGCTAAGGAGGGGGTTGAACTTTTCTCACCTTGGCTGCTTTTCATTATAGCTTCAACGTTGATATATTTTTCAGCGATTAGTAGAATGTTGGCCAAATTCTTTGGTGGCTCTATGGAAAAGGTAAGCTTGAAGTGATACTCTTTATCACCAAGTCCACTGGTTATAGCAGCAATTATAATAACTTGTTCTAGGTCTTACACTTAAAAGGCTTTAACATTAAAACGAGTGACATAATCATTCAAAAACTTATTTCGGCCTTGGTAAATCAACTTCAGGCTTAATGTAGTTTTCTTTATTTGTTGACTATTGATGAACCTATACAGGAATGAGTGGTTGAGCTATTTGAAGATAGTTAGAGGCCTCGGTTCCAAACTACAGTACCATGATCAAGCTTGTCCCTTTAAGCGTAGTGGCCAATCCTTTACACATCAAAGCTTTATAGGCCTCCTGTATCATCATATTAGTTCGATAAAGTTATAAATGATAAAAATGGTTAGATGTAATGTCATATGTCTCCAAGGTTAGCATTTTGAACCCTTTCAAGGGCATGGTCTAATCTATCTTCTCAGTAAAGGGCAAGGTCTCCATGAACTTCAGCTTGTCATCAAATGCAGAGGCCTTTCCCTTCAACTTTTTTTCCATGACATGTATATGAACTTTTAGGTTTTTGTTTAATTGGGGTTCTGGGACGATCTGTTCGGATTTTTGGATGGTGGCTTATGTTGATGTATGGGTATGGTAATAAGTAGTTGGAGTAGTGAGCTTTTCATATCTTGACATCGATGAGGCTACGATGCCATTGTAGCTTTGTAACTTTTCTACTTGTGGAGTTTTTGGGGTGATTAGATCTAGCAGTTTGGATGTTTAAGGTGGATTTAGGTTTTCCATCATTTCTTTGAGGGATTGTAATTGTTGATTTAGGGCTAGGAATTGGCTCCATTATGGGGCTTACTGCAGCAAGTCTGTCTGTGTTAGGTTGGCTAGTCTGGGTTTCTATTTCAGTTGCAACAGCTTGTTCTCCTTTCTTGGTGACTTTCCTTTTGGGTGGCATTTTGCTATGAGCTTGGCTGAATGGAATTATTCGTACTTAGCACATCAAATGTTTGTATCGAGTTATCTTCTAAGGATAAAATCTTGAAATCAAATGAGAAAGAAAAAACCGATTAAAGACAAAGGCTAGGGTAGTCCCAGTGTTTGTACCCCAACTTTTGTGCTTCGATGATAAAGTCAAATAATGGTTAAGGAAGTATATAGGAAAGAGATTGTAAGAAAGTATAAGAAAGCAATATGAATTAAATGGTACCTAAAATGTGTTATTTATATTTGTAAAATGGGAGGTTTTAGGCAAACTAGGTTGCCCGAGGTTAGTCATAATGTTAGGGATGATTTGATAGATCGAACTAAGTTGAACGTTGACCACCAAATCATGAACAACAAGTTAGTATCTAAGAGGGTCTAATGAGTAGAGTAGTCGAGTTAACATAATCTTAAGAATTTAAATCGATTTGACATTTTAATTCGATCAAAAAAAAAATACCCTTAATTATTTTTAATGAAGGGAAATGACTGTTATATTTTTTGAACCTAAAAATGCTCATAACACTTTCCTAGAAGAGATTTTTATATAAATGATATAAACACAAATCATCTCATAAAATAACTTTTGAGGAACGAATAATCATTTCATAATGAAAATGTAAATATTTTATCAATAATTAAGCATAATTATTTTTAGTGAACAAATATAACTTTTAACTTGATGCACAAGCATAACTTTTCATATTTATATTAAAATAATTTGTCATTATTATAAAATACTTAGATCACCAAAATTATTTCATAAAACTTTTTCTTATTCAGTGTAATAATAAAATCAACCTAAATTCTAAATTATCAACACTCTCTACATCGAACTCGTGAAGCATTTTTTGTTTGACTATATATAAAAAAAATATTTTAGTGCTCCGTGACATGTCGGTTCAATGTTGCTGTATGGATGAACAGATAAATTGAAAAAGTCCAATGTTTTTATTTAAAGATAAGAAAAGCGATGTAAATTGACAGCCACCATTTGTGACCTGTGCGGTTGGTTCTACAATTTCTTTTCTTTTTGAATCATAGTTTAAAAAAATAGGAAACCATCGAGAAGTGGAATATGAATTGGAAAATAAAGGATTACCTAAAAAAGGTGTCCTGCGCATTTAACTCATATCGCAGCATCATATATGGAAAATTTGACTCCAATATATAAAAAAATAATAATAAAAACAAAGAGGGGTTATTGGGTTAGGAATTTTGTGGGTCATAGAATGGTAGAAAATTTTGAGCAGCTAATCATAACATAATGGTGATTGAAAAATTTTCTTTGACAAAAATGAGAAAGAGGCCAAGGAATTTGGTCGGCTAAATTCAATATATGATTCTGACCCTTTAGAAGAAAGAAGTTTGATGAAAAACAGAGAAAATAGAAGTTTATTACCTTGCTTTATATAGAGTTCAAGCGGGGTTAAGGAAGAAGAAGAAATATGTTTACTTGCAAAATTTCACAATCAACAGTGACTAAGTCCAAAACCCTTTATAGAAATGGGCCAGAATCAAACCAACAGAGACTAGCTGGGCTTACTTGCTAATGGAGAATGGGCTAGAAATCGTTGAATTTTGACAGGCTGGGCAGTGTAGACTGGAGACCCTAGCCGAATACTGGCCAAGATTATCTAATCGACTTATCAACAAGAATCAATTGTTTCAATGTAATGCGACAAATGTAATTATTGAATCTGAACCTACTATTTTGCAATTTTCCTTGTCCTATTATTGCAGGAAATCGATAAATTTTGATAAAAATCCAAATAAATAATCATAACTCTTTTGGGAGCTCTTCCAAGAAAATGAACCAGCAAAATCTCACCGATTCTTCCCTTGCTTGCAAGTTCCAAGTTCCAATGCCATCTTCACTGTCTCTGCCCTCAGGCCAACAATCTCAATACCTCCAAACCCTCTTAGATTCTATACGACCTTTCCTTCGAGGTGAGCTCGAATCTATTGACAAAGACTTGCCTGGATTGATTGCTGTCCTGCGTTCTGCTGGTGCCGGAGAGTGTTCTCATAAACATGGTAGCTTTTTGGAGCATCTGGTCGACATATATCGTATTCTAAAGATATGGAAAGCACCTGACTGTGTTTGCCTCTGTGGCCTCTTTCACTCCGCTTACTCCAATGCCTATGTAAACCTTGCTATATTCGATGCTTCTACTGGGAGAGACGTTGTCCGAGGCCATGTTGGTAAGGCCGCAGAGCGTTTGATTCACTTGTTCTGTGTTGTTCCACGTCAGACTATGATCCATGATAATCTTTTGTTCAAGTACTTAGATTCTGAGCTCATGGAGCACCTTAATTTGTCGGAGATATCCTTGAAGAATGCGAAGGAAAAGGGTTTATTCGATAGAGAAGAAGTTTGGAGGCAGAAACTTCAAGTTCTGTTACCTGAGAATGGAATTGTAGTAAAAAATATAAAGACAGGTGAAGATGTTTTGGTCACAAGAAGGGTGATGGCTGTTTTTCTTTTGATGAGCATGGCGGATTACAGTGATCAATTTTTCGGCTATCAGGATCTGTTGTTTGATAACTTTGATGGACGGTTCAGGTTTTTGGGGAATAACTATGCCACTTTATGGCCTGGAGATGGCAAGCCCGGGCTGTGGATGAACTCGATATCGAAAATGGGTGCTGCTTATTCTCTAATACTCAGAGATGAAGGCATAATTTTGGAGGAGAGGATAAGTGTTGGTGGTGCTGAGGTTGAGAAGGACAGAGATGAGGAAATTGAGCTTGTGGTACCCCCAGTTTTTGAGAACTGCACAAGGGTTTTGGATGCTAAGGAACAGGTAGAGGCAAGGGACTTGTATTGGGAAGCTATTTGCGATGGATCTAAGAGTGGGATGGAAAGAGCTGAGGACTTGTTGGTAGGGTGCACTGAGAAGAACCCATTTATTGGTGAGCCACATGTTTTGTTGGCTCAGGTTTACTTGAACAAAGGCAGGTTTAAGGAGGCTGAAAAAGAGGCGGAGAGAGGGCTGACTCTGATGTTAGAGTGGGGGAGTCCTTGGGACAAGAGAATGTCATGGGAAGGGTGGATAGCTTGGGCAAGAGTTTTGTTACTGAAGGCCAAGGAAAAGTCTTGGCCGCAGAGTGCTTGGGGTGTCCTCAGTCTGGGACTTGTGAGGTAATGCAATTGCAGCTGCAGTCTTGTTAGTTGTTACTTCATCATATGTGTGTTTTGCCATCTGCCATTAAAAATATGACGCAATTTGGATTTGGGATTTCTGCTTTGAGGTCGGTTCTATGTGTTTTTTCCATTTGTTTTAAAAGGAAGATAGTAATGTCAAATGCTATGCCGTCCCCTGTTTCTTTGCTTCTTGTCCTTTTTTTATTTTTTAATCTTTTCCAACGCAATATCAGAAAATGCTTCTCATTGATGTGAATTTATTCAGAGTGCTGAATCTATTGAAAACAATTTGTTATTTCCAAAATATAACTTTAGAAGAGTGAAATCCACTCATATTTGTACTTTGTAGTGGAATGGAGACCGGAGAGGAATATATATATATATATATATATATATATATATATATAAGTTTTAGTTCACGTGCTATTGTTAATCAAATTATAATTATAATATAATATAATAATTTTGATATTTTATAATAATAAAATTAAAATAATTATCATTATATTAAATTAAATTAAAAATGTAAATTTAAGTTTTAAAAAATAAATATAACAAAAAATTAAAATTAAAATTCTAATAAAAATAAATATTTAATTTTTTTTTATTTTGATTCTTTTTAGAAGTTTTCTTTTAAGTCTTTTAGTGTTAAGTCATCATCTTCATTCTTTGTTTTTAATATATATTTTTAAAAAAAATTTTCGACTATAAAAGATTGTTTTCTATCACAATCAAATCAGATTTTGTATTTTTCTTCTTCTCTATTTTATGTTTCTTCTAGAGCTTTTTAAAGCTTTTTTAGTGGTAGATTTTTATCTTCAATTTTAAAAATTTTTTAGGTAATTGATCATTGTCGAACTCATTCAAACTATTATTTTTCATCTATTTGCTATTAAAAATTTAAATTCGTTTTTTTTTATTTGAAACCAAATTCTTATAAAGTTTTTGTTACTTGAAATAAAGTAAATATATACTTTTTTTTCATTACTAACTTATGTTTTTAACATGTACTTATTTATGTAATATAAATCATTTGGTAATTTCATTTTATAGTAAAAATTGCATACTTACATGAATTTTACTAATTAAAATATTATTTGTAAACATATTCTAAAAAAAGGATATGAAGTAATAAAAAACTATTAGTATCTCAATGTAATAATCAATGATATTTATTTATGTATTTATAAGGTATATTGACTAAAATTACTTTTAGTATCGAATACTGATTTCTTAAAAAATAATTAAATATACATAACTTATTAAAATATGTTATATTAAGAGTTTAAATAACAAACTTTACTTAAAGGTATACTTTATCCTAATCAAAAAGTTTTTTATGTTGTTCTTTAAATATTCAAATACTTTTTTCAATTAACTTTGGTTCAATATTATTATTGTTTGTTAATAATGAAATATCATAATTTTAAATTTAATAAGATATGATCTATTTTAGACAAATATTAAAAGGTATATTTTGAAGGTAAACTATGTTTTAAATCTTAGACTTTAAAATTGATAGTGAATATATTTTTAATATTTGTACTCTTTTTTAATTAAAATGGAATAATTTCATTATTCAATGAACACTTAATTATTTATCAAGTATAAGTCATTCAAAAAATTCATCATTTAAACGATATGGTTATAAAATTATAATTTATAGAATTCATACTATTATTAGTATTATTAGATCATATATTTTAATTTAAAATATTATGTACCTGAGAAAATAACTTATAGTAATTTTCTTATGATATTTTTCAATAAATTTAAACTCATTATTTTTCTCCTTCATTTTAAAAATATCTTTAAAGACAACAATTTTTTGTATAATTGCTATCAATGTTATAAATGATACCATAAAACACAACAATTTATTTTAGTAAAGATATAGCATTAATCTAGTTACTATTAATATATTATCAAATAGATAGTCAATGACATACAAATATAGATAAAGTTATTCCAAATTTTCACTTCAAAATTTGATTTTTTAAAATAAAAATATGTTGTTATAGTAATTGGTATATGAATATTGTTTTAATTATTTATATATGTGAAAAATATCCACAAATATTGTAACTCAATACCTTAGTATTAAATGAAAATTAGTATAATTTTTAAAATGAATTAAATATGTTAGACATATTAAAAAATATAGCTCTATATCAATATTTAACAAAAAAAAATTACTAAGTTAGTAATGATTTACTACTACATGTTATCGATGATTTACTGTTAAGTTATATTACTAATTTATTATTAAAATATGAATAATTTACTATTAAGTTATTTAGACTTTACTACTAAGCTAAAACTGATTTACTAATAAGTTATCATTGATTTATTATTATCATTAATTTATAACTAAATTATAAGTGATTTAGCATTTAGTTATCAATAAATTACGACTAAGTTAACTCTGATTTATTATTGTAACTGATTTATTACTAAGTTTTTACTTCACTCTTGCTAGTAATCAGAGTTCAATCCCTAAAAACTTCAAATATAAAAACCTTATCATGAATTAACAATTAAGTCATTACTGATTTATTATTATGTTATCAGTGGTTTATTATTAAGTTATTAATTATTAAGTTATAAATGATTTAGTATTAAGTTATTGATAATTTATTATAAAGTTATAACTAATTTACTATGAAGTTATCGATGATTTACTACAAAATTATGATTAATTTATAACTAAGTTATAAGTGACTTATTACTACATTATTAGTGATTTATTGCTAAATTTAGTGACTTACTATTATATTATTATGCATTTACTAATTAAATTATTTTATTACTAAGTTTTAAATAGTTAGCTATTAAGTTATCAATTATTTACTACTAAATTATTATTGAATTACTACTAAGTTATTTATGGTTTACTATTAATTTTATCAATTAATTACAATATATTACCAAGTTATTTATGGTTTACTATTAATTTTATCAATTAATTACAATATATTTGGTAATTTTTTTATATAATATAACATTATTCTTTCGTTTAAATTTAGAATTTTTTTACTAAATTTTTTTAATGAATAAGTTAATGGTAGGTTTATCCTAATCTTTTTCTCTTTCTAGTAACCGGGGTTTAATCATTAGTAGCTTTAAGTATAAAAAAACTGTTATCATTAATTAAAAAATAGGTTACTACTCACTTACTATTATCTTATCATTGATTTATTACTAAATTATCATGATTTATCACTAAGGTATAGATGATTTACTACTAAGTTATAAATGATTTATTACTTAGTTATTGATAATTTACTATTAAGTTATTAGTAATTTATTATAATGTTATTACTGATTTACTATAAAGTTAATAATTAACTAATTTACAATTAAATTATTATTGATTTATAACTAAATTATCATTGATTTACAATTAAGTTATCAATGTTTTACTATTATGTTATTAGTGATTTAGTAATAAGTTATCAATAATTTACTACTAAATTATTAATGATTTACTATTATACGATTATACATTTGCTATTTTGTTATCATTGATTTGCTATTGAATTTTAGTGATTAGCTATTAAATTATCATTGATTTATCACTAAGTTATTTATGATTTACTACTAAATTTATAATTTCATTACTATTAAACTAAACTAAATTTACTATTATGCTATCACTAATTTACTACTAAGTTTTCATTGATTTACGACTAAATTATCAATGATTAATTATTAAGTTATCATTTTTTATGAAGTTATCATTAATTTACAACTATGTTATTATGCATTTACAACTATGTTATAATTGATTTATTATTAAGTTATTATGCTTTGACTATTATATTATTACTAATTTACTACGAAATTATAATTGATATACTATTAAGTTATATCTTTAATTTACTATATTAAATTATTACTGATTAACTATTAATTTACTGATGATTACTATTAATTTATATTGATTTACTTTTAATTTTTAATTTTTAATTTTTAATTACTACTTAGTTATAAATTATTTACTATTAAATTATTATTGATTTTTACTAAGCTATTTATGATTTATTACTAAATTTGTCAATTAATTACTACTCATTTTATATGTCCCAATTAAATTGTCACAGTTAATTTTTTTAATTAAAATTTTTTAACTCTGACATCTATTATTTTAAATATTTTAATAAATTAAATTTTACAGAACATATATTTAGAAACCACTTGATTTAAAGTTTTTAAAATATTTTTTTCATATTTTTATCAATAATAAATAAAAAATAATAGGTGATTAAAATTGAAAAAAAATTGACCAACAAAAATAAAAATGTGACAATTTTATTAAGATGGAAGGAATATTAAACTGAATTTTATTTACTATTAAGTTATCATTAATTTACTATTAAGTTATCATTGATTTATTACTAAGTTATCAATAATTAACTACTAAGTTATCATTTATTTTTTATTAAGTTATCTTTAATTTACTAATATGTGTTATACATTTACAATTATATATAAATGATTTACTGTTAAGTTATTTGTTATTTTCTACTATGTTATTATGTATTTATTATTATGTTATCATACACTATTTAATTAATTATTTACTACTAAATTATTATTTATTTACTATTAAGTTATTATTACTTTACAATTAAGTTATCCATAATTTATTATACAGTTATCATTAATTTAGTATAAAGTTGTTACTAATTTTGTCTAAATTATCACTAATTTATAACAAAATTATCAATAATTTGCTACTATATTGTTATGCATTTACTATTAAGTTATAATTAATTTACCATTAAATCTTCTATAATTAATATAACTGTGTAAATCATATTAATAGGTGTAATATATTATAAACACTAAATTATTCATTTGTAGAAAAACTATTTTAAGCCTTTTAGCCGTATTGCTTGCAATAACTGGGGCATGAATGACTTAATAAAAAAAACTATTTTAATAAGAAAATAAATGAAAAATAGATAATATTTTAATTTACTAAAAAATATTAAATAAAAAATAGAGATAATTTAATAAATTATCACATTTTATATATACTATAGATATATATTAAACATTTTCTTAATTATAGATTATCTTATTTAAGGTAGGCTATAAAATCTAAAGTATGTATATGTTTGCGAGTATTCTAAATATTTAGCTAAAATTTAAATAAAATTTTTTATAGTAAAATTGGCTAATTTCAAATGGAGCACTTTTTACGCATTAAGAGAAAAAAAATTAAAGGTCACGTTATTATTTGTCATCCAACACCTTTTTTTTAATCATTTTCATATATATTATGATATATTGACCTATTGAATAATAA